AAAGATCGATTCTGTTTGCTACTGAGCTCAACTGAGTATTACTTTTTCAGGCGATCCTTTGGTTGGAACAATTGAGCCCTCCATGTACTTGGGTGGATTTCAATGGGATATTGAAATGCCCATTGGAAACTTGCGTCCCTATGCCCATGAATGTTGTGATAATTAGTAGCCGTTTATTCCGAATATACACTATATCACCGGCCTTGCTACGATCTATTTGGAACCGATTGTATTAACGATATCGGAAGAATTAGCCCGTCTTATGAGTTGTGTTTCCACAATTCAGTTACTCTGGTGCCATACAGGCAAATGTTGATATACGTTTTGTTGAGAGATACCATGCGTATTTATACCAACGAAACGGGAGGTAGGTAAAATGTCATGTTACATTGAATAAGGAAGCTTTAAAAAAGGGATTCAGAAATTCAGTAGCTCGAATTTCATGTTTATATCTTTTATGTAACAACAATGTATCAATTTACAGAAACTATTTCCTGGAAGCTCTGGAAGCAATCAATCCTCCATTAATGCTGAACAAATGAAACAGGCTGACGAAATTTGGAACATGTGAAGGAACGAATGAAATTACAATTGATGTGTTTCTTTGTAAAAGAACCATAACGAGTTATTTTGAATCTACCATTGTGCAATTTCAAATATATTCCATTTATAGTACTCTATATATGTGTGTTGCTCTGCTCCCAACAAATATTTATATAATACACAGTATTTCATTTTTTTCGAAATATACACACAGGTTTTTGTTTTTACACACAATTAATTCTAAAATGTCATTTGCATTTTCCATAGCTGAGCATTGACAATAGATAAATTGCACTTAAATTGACAAGGATAGTTAAGTCCTAAACATGGTCATTCAACTTTTTACAACCAATCGTTAAAAAATATTTTATAATTTGTCTACATTTATAATTACGATTTAAGGTATAATCTGCACATTTACAACTTAAAATCGAAGGAAACCTTTTCTCCGTTTTGGTATTTCTCAAAGTTTTCCTTAATGGTTGTTCAACGTCAATGGTATTGAACTTCTCTTGAATGCGCATTCTAATGGGATTCTCCAAAGCGTCCATGATTTGATAACGCAAGAGGTTTGGCAAAATATTTACCACAAATTCCATAACATAGTCCAAGGTGCAGCACCGTCACACCTCACTTGAATTTGCCCATATCAATTTGTAAGTCATTGATTTGTGGACGTTTTCTTGTATCCAGTGGCTGACTCACATCGACAGTCAATCGAATGTATTGTAAAGTGAATTGAATGTGGCCAACTCGCGAAACTAGTCCTCCATTCCTTCCCACTGGCCACCGCCGGGCAATTTGTTGAGTTCCTACAGTGACCTCTAAGAATATAGTATTATTTTCCATGGAGGCAATGACATCACCGTGCCTATAGAATGTAGATAATCCATGAATCCAAGTGTTCGATAACTGCATTCCGAACACTCCCATTGTACGATTGTAGTCGGGCAGGCGGAAAGGATCATACCCATTCACGCACTTGTTTGCGTCCTTCAGCAATAGCCATGTCTAGTGGGACTTATGGAATTGGCAATAATTTGTCACCCATTAATTTGGCAATGTTTTTATCGATATCTTCTCTCAATTTTGAATCGGCTTCTTGCAACATAAACGGCTTCATAGCATCAAACACTAGATTGGGTGCCGAATTTACAATTCCCTGGAAAACTGTTCCAAGAAAGCCCAAATTCTGGAAATCCATAGACATATCGCGAATGTGACATCCATTTTAATGTGATCGGTAAGTAAGTGGCCGTCTCTTTGTACAGCTAGTGTTGCGACACCTGCAAAAAACACAAATACGGAGAAACAAGATTCGTAAATAAGCGAATTAATCGAGTTACACATAGAATAACTAAATTTCGAAACTAAACATACCAGTAATCAAAACTTTTTTTAGAATAACAATAAAAGGACCATTCGCCTTGGAGAAGAAAGATGTTAATGTGTACGAGCCCTTGTATCATTTCGTCCAGCTCAACAGCACATTTGACCTGTTGTAGTTAAAAAAGAAATGAAAATAATAATTTTATTTCGTGCAGAAAATTTTCAAAGATCGTACAAACAATCCGATCACTCTCGATTAAATGAAAAACATTTCTGCTTATAGAAAATTTGATTTCTGTTTAAAGTTTGCGTGGTAATAAGAATCGTATATCTATGTACTATAAGAACTTTGTCGAATAAGTCTAGTGTCGACATTTTACAACTTCTCCAATTCTATTCCTACAAAACTCTGATTTAATTCTAAGAATTTTCAAAGGTGATTGCTGAAGTCTTAGAGTATTTCCCCATTGGCTTAACTTCATAGTACTCCATATAACAGGGCGCAGTGTTTTTTTTAAAGTAAACTGACAGCTTTGCAATATTTGCTGATCGCTATCCACATCATTATTTTATCCCGGTGAGTGGAATGGCCATTTAATTTTTTTAGCTTTTTAATGTTTGTTAGAGCCTTATGCATATTTATTATTAAGTAAATAATAGGCATTTGTTATTATTTACTGTTAGTAATACAAGTTTTTAAATTTCGAGATTTACTATCTTGTGTCTCTAAAAGTGTTACAGCACTGTTGGCAGTGACACCCATGAAAGGTTTGAACATCACTTGCCTACTTCATTATAGTCCCTAAAACAGGGATGATGACTGTGACAGTCAACTGTGCTGTGAAAATTTTACAGTCGAAGCACAGCGACAGCTTTTGCTTTTGAAACAAAAGACTACCACAGCAAATCCACAGCTTATTTTTGATTTTTCCACAGCTTTGCTGGCAGCAAATTCAAACACTGCGTAATACGCCTTAATCCGAATATTGAGTCACTGTAGAAGCTCAAACTAAATTGTAAAATTGTTGGAAAGAAAAGGGTCAATTGCGAATTCCGAGATCGTTTGCCCTGATAACCACTTTTAAATATATATTTAGCGTCTTGGAGATAAGATTGAGATAGTTATAGTTTGCACAAAGCTTCAATTTTTCTAACTTGTATGAGTGTGTGTGTGTGTACGTACCGTCATAGCATTCAAATCGGCCTTTATGCTGACAATGCGAAATTTTGATAAGCCATAGGATTGGACATCGTACATACTTAATGTAGCCATACCAAGGTTTTTCTTCATATCGGGTACATCCATGGGATCAGGCACTGGAGCACCAGGAAATCCTATTGGATCTTCCTGTTTGTAGTGATTCAATACGGCATAGAGCTGGGCTGCCAAACGATTTTCACTAACTTTGACGTTGTGCTCGTCTAGGGAATTTGCATTATCTGCTTCGGCGTGTGCGATGTTCTCGGTGGTTTCCTCTCCATGTTGGTCCTCTAGAACCCATTAAACACATTTTATATCCATTGATTATTAATTCATTTCAAGTATTTACCGATTTCCTGTGATCTTGCTTGACACATCAAAGCAAGAGTGCCCAGCAAAATCAACCACGATCTTTGTATTCTCATTTTCCGTGTTTTTAATTCGGTCTACGGCTTAATTCCACTGAGTTATCAGTTGTAAGTAAGTAAATCAATGCACACACACGCTACTCTTTATAATCGAAGACACCATCACACTGTGTAGAAAGAAGCGCTGAAGATAATTCTGAGTCGCTCGTTTTCTTGGCTGGGGTCTTTGTTTGTGCGTTGTCAAAGAGCCTTTAATTTGTGTTCTGTTCTTCCAACTACTGCGCTAAGTTGGTTTGAGTGAAAAAATACAAACGCCTTCCTTGACGATCACACTACAAATGCGGATGCTGCTACTGATGCGATGTTATGTTTGGGACAGACATTCCGACATAAGACAAATCGCTGGAGAGACAAATTCTGAGAGTGAGCTATTGACAAAGATGCGGCAGCAGATAATAAAGCAACAGTGGTTTTCTGTTAAAAAAATAATAACGTTTTCGATGCCCTAACCCTTGGAATACATAATATATAGACTTGGGATTTTCACATTTTTTTTCTAAAATTTATTGTTATTATTGGTTTTTAATATTGGTTCTAATGGAAATAATTGTTATTTATTGCATTCGTACGTAATCTCTTAATAGTTAACTGAACACTATCCAAATGTACATCGTTTTTTTTTTTTTTTTGTTGTTTTCATTATTTTAATAAATATTTCGTTTTATTATGAAAAATTTCATATACATTTCTTTTGTTTACCTTTTCAATATTAAATTTATAAATACTTAAACGTAATAAGCAACACTTATTTAAATAGATTGGAAATTTGCAGTCGTAAAATATTTAAAGCGAATAATTAAATAAAAATAAAACAGATCGATGCTTAAGACCTGGTCTTACGTTCAAATTAAAACTAAAAACCCATAAAACGCATGCTAATATCCAGTTAAGATAATAATTCTCTTTACGACAAAAATTTATAAAAATTATTAAATCTAATTTAGTTCTAGATTCTATGAATTTGATGTTGAGATTAAATAATGGGGAAAAAATCTACTTTGTTTCCGTTTTTGAATACTTCCACCATTGGTTTTCGAGCCCTAAATGTAATGTTTTGATGTATACAGTTTGAAATACAATACATAACCGCTTATATGTCGTACACATAACTCTTCCATAGATATATTTCAATCTCCACGTTATCGAATGTAAACACATACGAGTATATGTGATACACATATGTATAAGTCACATAAACGTGGTTTGAATTATTATCAATAGTAGGTTTGTGTAGATCATGGAAACAACTATGTACGATCCTTGGAGAAAAACTAATGCCTAACATTGATATTATATATATTCATGTGTGTGTTTACTTTATATAAATATGTGTACGTATATGTGCTAGACTGGGATGTTTTATTATAATAAAACATAAAATCCCTTTTTCCGTCAATACCCCTTGCAGTCACATGACAGTTACTACAAAACACTTTCATGCGGGGGACATATGTTAAATGAAAATTTTAAATGCATCTGGTACTGTGTCTGCGTGTGTGTGTTTTTTTTTTTTTTTTGTAACAGAAAATTACTTAGGGGTTTTAGGTGACGGTAAGACTGTGTCGAACAAAAAGGAAACACTGGCTTTGATATGTTAACAACAAACTGAATTGTGGGTGGGAGTAAAATTTGTATAATTTTTGTTTGAGACACGAAAATTACGCATTTACTCATGTATTGGGACTACCTAAGGACTTCAGATTTATTGTGGTATTACGATGGGTAATTGTACCGCCACCTGCCAATGATACAACTGGCAGCGTTGTAACATCTCTTCCCGCCGAAGCTGCACTAGAAGACGTTACGACGAGATTTGTATAATGCTGACTCATTTCACCACAATTCTCCAGGATTTCTGTTGTAGTCCTATTGGCGGTCTGAGTCTGGGGGTTGCTGATCATCATTGGAGCTAAGGTAAGGGTGGCTGTGGTGGGGGCGGGGGACGAGGAAGGAGTTAAAACTGATGCCGAAGCTGGTGAAGTGTTAGCATTTGCGTTGGAACCTATTGTATGAACTGTTATTATATTTTGTTTTAATTGTTGTTGCAGCTGCAAAGGTAACGTGCCCGTGGATATTCTTTGGGAAGTCAAGGCTTGGTGATGCTGCTGTTGTTGTTGTTGAAATATTTGTGGCTGATGTTGTTGCTGGTTTTGTAAAATAAGTGGCAATGATGCTGTAGCTACTGGTGAACTTGCATGTTGGGCAGTTGTACTTATTGTTGAGGGCAAAATAAAATTGTTGCTTCCGGAAACTGAAACCACAGCTTGAGGTAGTGACTGAAGCATTTGCAGTCCTGGTACTTGATTTGCGGATTGTGATGTACCCGTTGTAAACAAATTAACAACTGATGAGGAAAAAATAAATTAATATTAATGTACTAAAGCATTTGAATCATCCGTCAGTTACCTTGAAATTTTCCTTCTGCATTTTGTATAAGTAGAGATTCCCTTTGCATTTGATCTAATTGGACAATATTACCCGGTGTTGTTGATATTGTCGATGCTACCGATGTTGTAGATGAGCTTAAGGACGCCTGCGTCACATTGGGCGTGTGTTGTACAGACACCGTGTTAGTTGTTGTATTAGGCAGAGGACTGCTACGAGGAGTCACTTGCACATTTCTGCTAACTAATGCAGCTGCGCCTTCAAAACTTGGCTTCATATTAAGTGGTGTGGTTGCTGCTGGAGATGCCACTGTTTCGTTGGCTTCCCCATTTGTAGGTGGTGCCAACCTAGTGGAGCTGGTTGCTATCGGCAATTCATTGACATTTCCATGATCGTCTGCCATTTGTATTTCATAACAGGCAAGTTCTGGTATCACAGGTCGTACTTTCATACCATCAGGACGATGGGGATTACGGCATCCACGACATTTACAGCCTATGCATGACTTTGAGTCCACGTAACAGGGACAACGTTGACCGCAACAAGTCAATTTGCCAGGAGTGGATGTGGTATTGCCACAGCGGCATCCTCTCTTCTTATTAATGGTTTTCGATATGGGTCGCAAAATGGTGGCATTGGGAGCTGATGTCGAGACATTTTTCTGTAAATTAAATAATTAAATACAATTTTCTCTGCAATATTTTCTTTTGCAATACGAACCTTTTGGGCCACATCTTCATCACCATCTGTTTTCCTCTTGATGGTAATTTTATTGCCAATTCCTGTATATAGCACTGAGTACATTGCAGAACCATTGGAAACTGTTTTAATGGCAGGGGGATTGCGAATTTGCGATGTTACGGTAGCGGTTGTAAATGCATTTGTCAATGTAGTGGTGGCTGTAGTGGCAGATGTGCGCAAGGAGGACGTATTCAGTGAAGGAACTGTTTTTGCCAACTGCGTTGGCGCCAAGGAAACCTTAAATGTGGCCAATTGGGGTTTTACGTCTGTGGCAGAAGAAGACACGGACGAATGTTGTGTATTTGTCGCAGTGGGTGTAGTTGCCGAGGAAACTACTTGCAAAGCCCTTGCTTGAGCAAGCTGTCTATTGAGTGTCTGTAATCTAGCTGATGCTATAGAGAGTGGCACTGTGGTTGTACCGGAAGAAGAAACAATGGGCACTACGATGCCCCTAGTGTTAGGACCAATGTATGTAATGTTACCAGCATTTTTAAGCTGATTTAGTTGAATTAGTTGCGGATGGTTATATGTTGTTGTATTGGAACTCTGTTGCGGACCTGGCGTTGAGCCGTGATTTGCGGGAGCTGACAAATGTGATAAAGGCTTAAAGGTTGGCGAAGTTGTCTCGACTTTAATTTTTGGTACGTGAGTTTGGGGTAGATTAGAAATTGGTCCGCTAGCTGAGGTTGGCGGTGTTGACGCCTTGGGCGCTGTTGACTGAATTACACCAGAACATTTGATGTTTTGCTGCAGGGGAGCTAATGGTGTGGCGGCTGTGGTTGATAGTGGCACCACCAATGCCGGCATTTGTGGCTGCTGCTTTGGGTGAGGGTTGTTAGGTGCATATGAAACTTGTGGCTTGGGCAAGTCTTTTGAAAAGCTTGACATAATGTCATCATAACTGGCTCCTTCAACAATCAAATCTTGCAAAGACATTTGTGGCATACTTAACGTGGGTGACATTACATTAAACTGCAGCAATTTTCGTCCTGCTAATTGGGGAAATATATGACTGCTACGTAAGTGTTCGCATAGACTTTTGTAACAGACCAACAAACATCGCAGCTGTTTATTCTCTTCATAGGTCTTATAGTCCCGATTTTCGCGACAATGAACGCACGATGGACTCAGATTCTTCTGACCACGTATACAAAGGCGACACACACTGTGGTTGCAGTGTCCATGGCTGGGTGAGAAAGGATCTGTTGCCAAACGACAGCAAACAACACATGAAAGCAGCTGTCGTAGATTCAACAATTGCCGGGGCAACTCGTTATTAGTGCTGGAATTGGCCGATGACAGTTCCGTGGTCTGGAGCACCAGCTTAGCTGCGTTTACATAAACACTTACAGCAGCATTCATAGCAACAAAAGATCGGATGTGTCGTTTGTTGTTAAGGGACATATAATTAACACATGACAAGTCTTCCCGACAAATTCCACCAAACACTAGGCCAATGGAACCGTTCAGAGCAAATAAATTCCTCTTGCGAGCGATAGATAATACTGTTTTTGTTTTATTTATTCCACTTTTCCGCTCATTGTTTGTATCGCTTTCGTCTCGTATACCAGAAACGCACAAATTGTTTTATTTCCAATAAGAATTCACTTTACATGCACAGACTGTTAAATGTTGAAGTTTTTCCAATACTTTATTTTGCTACAATTCTCCTCGACGATATTAAATATATCAAATCTTTTCGGAAATATTTTGCAATTTTTGCAAAAATTCTTACAAATACTAATAATTAGACAACGGAGTGGAACCCTTTTTCGGCAGCGGCGGCGTCTTATCAGGTGTAGACTAATCGGCGGCGGCGCGCTTTGTTTCTGTGTACTCTGTACCCAAACACATCAACAACTTTGTACAAGTATACACCAATACACAAAGAGTTGCGAATGAAGAAAAGGGCAACACGCCGAATACGCCGAAATGTATAGAAAGTGGAAGAGGCAACACGCCGCAACAGCTGTTTGTTCTAGTAATTATTAGAGTTGTGTTGTTCGGGAATTGTAAAGTTCAAATAAAAAATATTCTGTGAAAGGAGCAATCGAACTATTGAAACCCCGTTCGTGTATTTAGTTCAAATAGTTCCCTTTATATTCAAAGTGGCATTATACACCAAAATATGTTGTGCTCCAGTACCGGAAGTACTATATTACAAAATTTTACAAGGCCGAAGAAAGTCTATTTCAGAACTTAAAAAATGTAATACTTTTTTTCTACGATAACCGACTTTCCCTTTATTATATCCAAAAAAAATTGCAAAAGTTGTAAATTTTGCAGGTTCTGGAACATTGGAACATTATTTGAGAATTTATTAAAATAATATATTTCGGCTTTACCCTGGTTCCTCTTTAAAGACCCATATCCCTGCACCGGAGAAAGACAATAAAATAATTTTGACAATTTTACTAGTTTGTTGTTCCTCTACTATCTGGGAAAAGCAATTGTTCCAGAGCGATGTAACACTTCTCTCGTTAACATGACACGTGACTCGGTGTCTATTCGTTATTCGACCATTAATTATTAAATATCTACTTAATTCCCAAAATATTTGTTCTTTATTCCATTAATGACTCGATGGGAAAGATTGTTCACTTCAAGCAACTAGGAAAATGCAACTCTGTAGTGGACTCTTATTGTGTTAAATAGACATTTGGACAAATGGTTTTGTTTATATTAATTTTTTTCATAAAATCCGTATAAAACATGAGTGCAAAGTAGAGCTTATATCACAAAATTTAAGAACAAATTGTGCAGTTTGTTGTCCGTTAACGTGCAAATTTTGCATTTCAATATTTTTTTGTTTATTCAAAACAATACACATCCATAAAAAACTGTGCATATGTGCTTGTCCAACAAGAATTACTTACCCCAATCTTTGTTTTGTTTATTTATTTGTTTCAATCATGGTGCATATAAATAAAGGTAACCTCATTTCAAATTAGCATTCTCAGCAGTACTTCAATGCATGAACCAGTAAGGAAAGGTCAAAAGTCGGGCGGAGCCAACTATATGATATCCTAAACCACTATGTGTATTTGGTGGAACTCCCGCAACAAAAAATGTTTACATTAGGAATTTATGTGAAGCAGGTCATACCAACTTTGAACCAAATAACATTGCCGTACAGTGCAAAGTTTCACCAAATGGTAAGATTCGGTAGAATTTGAAAAAATCTATTCAATTTGGGCTGATATTACATAGCAATAACGTTAAAAGCGGATGAAGGTGTATATCAAAGCTATAAAAAATCTGCACCGATCTGGTTATTTGTAGGTCATAATGGTGGAGAGTAATAAAAGTTCGGCCCGGCCGAACTTAATGTATTTTACTTGTTGTGTATTATTTCCCTTGAAATTTTTCTTTGTAAAACAATTATATTGTTGTTGCAAAAATGTTAGTTGTTCCAATGCATGCATACACCTTAGTTGGTAAAAACTCGTGTGAAGTTTGCGCGAAAAGAACATTGTATTTTTAAGGGAGCCGGCTGAGGAAAAAATTACATTTGCTTCATTCATCTCTCTTCTTTCCCATAAAACTTATTTCCTTCTCCGTGAATATTCTCGTTTGTCTTAGGACTTACTTATTGCACTAAGGCAGCGTGAGTGCTTTAGAAATTTACTTCTAAAGGCATCCTCAATGATTTGAAAATGAAATAATGTTAGGTGCCTATTCCCTGTAATTCTATAATTCATGGATGACCTTTTGGGATAGAGAATAAAATTCTGTGGGTCATCTCAAAAAGTTGGATCAAGTAGATGAAGGAAGGCACGCAGATACATATATATAATTTGCTTACGTCCAATCGATTGATTTTTCCATTTTAATGTTACATATTTGCATTGGTCGGTCGACGTCAACCCTCTCAAAAAGATTCGTAGCAAAACGGTAAGTATGTGTGAAGATCGATCAGAGCACGCCACAATCACCACCACCAGACAGACACATATGCTCAGTTCTTGAGTTGCTTGTTTGGCTGTCTAGCTGGCTGGCTAGATGCTTGCTTGGCTAGCTCACATCTTGGGTGCTTCTTCGTATTTACACGAAGGAAATGTTCTGCTCTTCGTTTGCCATAATACGAGTGTGTTGGTGAAAATCTGCGTGGGGATTCGAATTTTCTGAAAATTCTAATTGGAATTTTCATTTGGTCGATCAGTTAGTGTTTCGTACTCGTCGAGTGTTGTTCTCGGTTTTTCTTCTCGAGAGGATTCGTTGTTCCACACACAAATAGTAAATCTTCCTCATCTCTAACATAGAATACACTCACACACCAACACACACACGTCGCCCCCCTCATCTATAATTTACAAAGCATATCGTGGTATATGTGCATAGAACGGAGGAGAGATAATAAAAGTCTGTTACAATTTTGAAAACGTTACGTTACGTACGGGATAAAGTCGTTAAAACGCCGTGTAAGCGTGCAAAAAAACGTGGTAATTTTACTGGTTAGTGTCGCAGAACGAGGCGAAGAAAAGTGACAGTGACAGCTTTTTCTACAATTACATAATCGAAGTGGGAATTTTTTGTTCGATACGATCTCACACACAAAATGGCGTGTCCTCTTCACACGGCCACTTTCGATATGATTTCAAGAATTTCTAAGAAATATTAAAATTTTATGTGAAAAAAAGAGCTAAAAAAGCATTACACACATTGTTTCGATTTCAAATCAACGAGAGCAAAAATCAATGCAAAATATATTAGAAATTAATAAAATAAGTTATAATTTTAAAAAGTGAAATTAAAAATTTCTAATAGAGTCGGATGGAACAGACGAATGTAGTGGGACACACAGAAGAAGTGAGTGGCACTCTCTTGCTTGTTATACCTTTGGTGGCCAGAATTTTGTGGTATCGTGTTGAAGACGCCAATGACGGTGCTACTGCTGCACACACAGTTTAACGAACTGAGTTCATTTCTATTTTTGAATTTTCAAAATCATCGGCCAAAGCATTGCCGGGCAGTCGGCGGGAGCAAACATCAAAAAACAACACAATATTGAAAAAAAAATAAAACAGCGCGCCATTGTGCGCTTGGATGTGCTCGGCTCCCGAAACCAAGTTCCTATTTATTTTGTTTCATGTAGCAGAGGGAAAATGGTTGAATCTCCACCACCACTTCTCAGAGATTTGTATTTTGACTTTGCCAGGAACTCAAAATTGTGGAATCGTAAAGAGAGAAAACTTAAAAAACATTTTTTTGGCGAATGGTCCTTTCTACATTCATAGATTTGGTTGGCTGGTTGATAGTGGTTGTCTGGAATACAAAAGTGTGCTGGAGTTATAAGTTGAAGAGGAATATATAAAAATTGTATATGTTTCTTTTTTGAAATACTAAACGCAGTGATTCAATGCAGACTTCCTGGTTCATTTTCGCGTTGTTGCAAATTCTTTTGGTTTTGAGATTAAAAATATTAAAATGATACTTTTAGTTTTAAAAACAAATTAAAGAGTTATTCAGATGGGAAAAAATATTAGAAAATTTAGTAAAATTATACAGAAACCATTAAATACTATTAATATATTGTTTATATTTGATTTGAAATTAATAATTTTATTAGGCGGATAAAGTAACTCTTTCAGTTTCCAGGCAGCCCCACTTATTGAGTCCATAAACGGACAGGGAAAGTGATTAGAAAACAAAATTGAGTTTTATGGGAAATTTTATTTTTTCTCCTTCTCTCCGAAAAATTCGCTTCCTTTCTTTTCCACAAAAGTCGCATTTTATTCGGCCAAACTTGTAAAGTTTGAAGATAAATTAGGGATACATCTAAAATAGACTATACACACTTTTTCCAACAAAACTTTCTTGTCCCAAAACAAGGATATGTATATTGGCGGGGAACGCTTTTGGTCTATTTTAGAGGAGACAAAGAGAAGGTTTGCTCAAAATATGAGGGTAATACCAATTTGTCTATTTTTGTGCATTATTCGATGATAGTCATGAGTTTTTTTTAATGGCAATAAAATTTAATTGGTAATAAAAAACTAATTTTTATACCCTCCACCTTCCGTTTGTAACATCCCTAAATATTCGTCGTAGACCCCATTAAGTATATATATTCATAATCACCATAAAATTCTAACGATGTCGATGAAATCACGATACAGCCCACATTACTTTGGTACAATAGTTTGTATTGTGTCTAGGATGGTTGGTCTTGAAAATGAAACATATCGGTCCACGTTTTGGGGTAGCCGCCATATAACAGTACCTTCCAATATTCGGTATTTTGATGGTTTTAGTCACATTTTTCCGCGTGCTGAGTCCTGTTGGAATGTCCAAGGTCTGCGGCCAAAATGTTTGCGTGCCCAAGGCTTTATTCTTTTCGGCATTTATTCTGATGCCACGGTCGATTAATACGAGCGGAGAGCGACCATCAGCTATTATGGCGGCCCACACCAATGACACACGAATGTTTTCTCATCGGAGAAAACCAAATTCGACAGTTCACCACTTTCGGCCAAACAAAGCAACTCTTTAGCTCTTTTGAGTCTATTTTCTTTCAGTTGCGCTGTAAGTTATTGCACTTTTTGAATTTCAATGGCTTTACCCCGAGCTTATTTTTCAATATTTGGAATATTGCGAAATGTTTAGCTCACGAGCCATTTTTCGGCCACTGTGACGCGGATTTCGATGAAGTGGCTTCTTTACTTTTCGAACCAGTTCTGCTGATATTGCTGTTCTCTTCCGTCCACTTCCTTGACATCGGGCTACGCTACCAGTATCACGGTAATGAGCGACGGTACGAGACACGAAAGATTTATTCACATTTAAAAGCTGGAGGGCTCTACCGATAGCCACTTGTGGTTTTCCAGACAAATATAAAGAAATCACAGCATCACGCTTGAATTCCATCACGAATAACTTTTTTTCTGGAAAATTCTCACCAAAATGTTTT